GAAAGATACTTTAGGGTTAAGGATTTGATTTGCTAAAATCAAAATTAATGAATGGTCCCTAGAAACCTATAGCTAGAACAAACTAAGAAAAATTATGAAAAAGGGACTATGTTGTCCTAAGAATAGTGATCCAATCAAGCTAGGATGTAGTTACACCAACTACAACAAGAGAAATAAGAAATTTGGAATTAAAAGAAGTAATAAACAAAGGTTTAATAAGAACAAATTTTCTAGAAAGAAAAAGAGGTATTTTAAGAAAACCAAAACATCAAAAAGGTATAAAAAGAATCCTAAAAAATGCACATACTGGTTGTGTAAAGAAGAAAGGCATTATGCAAATGAATGTCCTAAAAGATACAAAAGAGAAAGTACTAAAAACCTAAAAATTTATGAAGAAGAACTAAGTGAAATAGATGCTAGCCCTATAAGTAGTGAAGAAAGTATATATGAAGTGGAAAGTTTATATACCTCTAGTAGTGATGAATTAGAATATTGAAGAAGGAGCAGCTTATTCTAAAGAATATGAAGGACATGGAGAATACAGTCAAATAACTATATTTGATAAAAGTAAATATAAAAGAATTAGACGAAAGAGAATGGGTCTTGCTTTAGAAAAAGGATTCAAACCAAATTCCTTTATAAGTAATCCTTTTAAGAGAAAAGATATAGTTTATTACGGAATATCCACTATAGAATATAGCATTCTTATCAAGAATACAATGGGAATAATAAATATACCTTTGATTATCAAGTCAGAAATAGAAAGCAAACTATCAAACATCAAAGAAGCTGATAGATCAAGGATAGGTTTTATCCACATTGGAGGAATACAAATACTTATTAAAGCTCATTTTAGAGAAGGAATAGACACCCCAATAAAATTAGTGTCATAACCCAATTTTAATTGGGGCTAAGTGAGAAAAGTAAAAGTTCATGGACCATTTCGCAAAAAAGTGTAAAGCTTGAAGGGCTGAGATGAAGAACTAGCAAAACGACGTCATTTTGCCTGTAAGCTGAAATAAAAACAAAGCCCAGGGTTCTGTCGAACCCTAGCTTCCCAAAA